TACAGGAACAGTGGTAACACACCACGGAGAGGAAACTGAACACCCAGTTCAGCGTGGCTATAGGTTTCTGAGTGGCTATCAAAAATCCACAGAACAGGGGTAGAGCAGATAGTTCAATTAGTAAAATATCTGTCATTCAAGCATGAGGACCTGAATTTGGATCCCTAATATCCATATAAACAAATGCAGGTGTTGATGTACATATCAGCCACCACCTCACTGCTGAGGGGCATGGAAGCAATCAAGTCCAGGAGCATTATTAGCTGGTGAGTCTAGCCAACTGGTGAGCTCTATGTTCCGTGAAACTCCCTGTCTCAAATGTAACATGGAGCATGATCAAATAAGAAACCTCTGATTCTATGTGCACACATAGCCACAAGCACATGTACACATACCTACAAGAACATTCATACACACACACACACACACACACAGAGAGAGAGAGAGAGAGAGAGAGAGAGAGAGAGAGAGAGAGAGAGAGACATATACCCATAGGAACATCCACATACACAGACAGCACATAAACACACACACAAACACACAGATACACACCACCAGGGAGAAACACAAAGCAGTAGTGCATCTGGCCTGTGGGAACTCCATGTCAAGTGTGTGAAAGTCAGGGATAGAAACTAAGCTACATGCAAGGTTAGGTGTGCACTTCTCTTGAGCAGGAAGCCCCTAGGGTTGTATTCGTTTCTAACTGTTCTGAGACAAAGCTGAACGGGCTTCCACCCAGTGTACCACCTAAACCCAGTGTGTTCCCACTTCTTCCCTATTTTATCCTTCCTTTCTTCAGAAAGATGTGACCAGACAATACCACATTAATTCTCCTATCATTCCTGCAATTTTCCAGTTGCATCAGAGAGAAGCAAACTCCCTTCCAGTCACTGAGGTTACCAGACAGCACAATCTAATTCTGATAGAAAGATCTTGATTTTTCTGCCTATCCTGGGCCTCCCTCTGCACAGATCTCTCTATGTTTGTAAAACATCATAGTGACTGCACTGAGTGTGAGACATTGTTTCTTTCTGAGTCCACCTTGTTCTCTTGCATCCTCTCCTCCACTTTGGGCCTAACCTGTGCACCCAGCAGGAACACCATCTCCAGTGTCTCTCTCATTTGCACACTCCACCTCTACAAACCCTTTGATTGCATCTTCCTTGTAACACATCAGGTTCCTTTTGCCCCTTTTAATACTGCAGTATGGCAGCCATTAAATGGCATTCTCGTTGCCTGGTACTTAGAGGGTGACCAACAAACACCCGTTGAACTGAACTTGGCCTCTCTTTGATGTGTCCAGAAGCAGGAAGACTGTGAAAATACTTTTCTAGGAATTCCCATGGCATTTGAACAATCAGCAGTGAATAGGGCGTTTAAAAAGAAATTATCCATTAGTAAGTACCATAACAAAATGTACAAATATCAACTCTCTGGCAACTAATCCAGGCAAAATTCTGAAGCTTGCCTGGGCAAGAGAATTACCCTGACAAGAAAGAAAAGACCAAAGAACAAGCTTACATGGTTGGAAAGAGTGTCCTTATGCTGACATCTGAAAGAAAAGATCAAATGTACTAAGAAGTTGCCTTAGAGATATGGCCCAAACAGAGGCTGGAGATTCTATCGACATTAAGTAGGAAGGCCATCTCATTCCCTTTACTAATAAAGGCAGTCTGAACGGGTGGTGTGTGTCAATAAAACCAAGGTGAGGACATGTGAAAGAGTGCTGGTGTTAATACTGACAAAGTGTATCCTTTACTTAATGAAAATACAAGTTCAGCACACAATGTCCAAGTTCAGTGCCAATTAGTGGATGATGAGCCAAGCTTGGAGGATCTCATTTTGCTTCTTCATCACCAAGACCAGCACTCCTTTGAGCTCTGATCTTCCAAGTTCCATGTAAGACGACAGCATGTAAGAAGAGCACCCCACTTCCCTAAGCAGAGTTGTAAACGCCTCTTTCTTTTGGTGTGCCTTTGGCTGGGAATCACCCTGGTTATGGAGTCATTTTGAAAATGTAAACGTCTTGCAAAGCCCACACAGTGTGCCAAGGTAACAATGCCCAGACATTTTATCTCCTTCCCTGTCTCAGCTCCCATCTCTGCAGGTGGAGGGATGGCATTTCTCCCTGACCCCTGTTGCAGGTCAGGCAGAGGAGATGGGCTGCGATGCTCTTTGAAACCATGGACATCTTCAAAGAAGGTACAAAGATGCACTGTGACCACTGAGTTCAAAATTGTGACAGTTTGTGGCTTAAAAAATGGTGTTTTAGTAGAGCATGAAGTTCCCTGTCTCCAGGCTTCTGTGTAACTTCGTCCAGAAAATGTGAGCAACAAAAGGGGACAGCTGCAGCTAACAGGTACACCTGGGTAAGAAGGCTCACGCACTCCTTGAAAAGCAGCATATACATTTTGTCCTTGTCTAAGGACTGGTTGGTGAGAAATGCTTGTACTTAGAAAGTTTCAGAAACCTGCTGAGGGGAACAATAAGACTGCATCTGGGTCTCTACCCCTTTGCCAGGTGGCTAAAGCACGAGCAGCTTCTTTGCAATCTCATTGCCACAGTCACTTGGCCATCTCTCTGGAGCGTGTCACGAGTTCCCATTTCCCCTAGCTCTATTCTGAAACTAATTTGTGGCCGCTGGTAGCTGTTTATCATTGGCTATAAAAGTTTTTAAAATGAAGAAAGTGGGAGTTACAAAAAAAAAAAAAAAAGCCCAATATTTTCAAGCTGGAAATATATTCATTATTTATCTTTCAAAGGAGTAATGTAGAGGAAAAGTATTTTGCCAATGTGACATGGAGGATGCTCTCCGGGTCCTCTTGGTTTATTATTCATTTGTTGAATGAGAAAGTGCCAATTACTTATTCAGTAAATACTTATTAAATGCCTACTTTGCACCAAGTATTATGCTTGCCCAGGGGCTACACACATGACCCTTGTTCTCAGAGCCCAATAAAGAAAAGGGAAGAAGGAAGGCATTGAGATGAAGTGAGCTGCACAACTGAGCCCGGTGCTCATCAACTTCCTGTAACAAGTGATGAACGGAGATGACACTGTCCCCGTCAGGGACTGAGAACCTGGCACAGAAACCTGCACTTGCAGAGTTTAGATTTGGCAGGATTTCCACACAAACTGGACCCCTTCATAACCCACTCATAAAGTTTTGTTAGAAGACAGAAAATAAAGGGGAGGTGACACAGTGTTAGCCTGACTTGAAACAAAACTATTGGCAGCTTAGCTAAATTTCTTTCCAGTTAGTTTTCTGAGCCATAGGTTAATTTTCAAAGTTTTTACAAGTGGGTTTCATAACTGTAATCTAAACAGCATATTCTGCACTTCACTGGACCTAGGACAATGCTGACTGTGAATTGCTCTATTAGTCTACATACCACTGGAGAGATCAATCGCTACCATTTCCAGAATGCCATGGACTGAGAGATATGCCCAACTTCAGTAGCATCAGTATGGCTACTAAAACAGTGTTTCACAGAGGTGACCAACCCTGACTTCCACAGAGCCCACACCCACACTGTCCACCTTACTCCTAGATGGATGCTAGTGGCTTTCCAGACCATGGCCTTGGGTCTCCCTTCATCAGACAAGCTGCTGACCAGTAAGAGAACTCCTTTGTTCTTTTTTATACATCTTAACTTGAGCACCTGCAGCAGGCACTTACAAAACTATTTCCTGGTGTAATAGAAGTATGAGAAGATGCTCTTAAGTAGGAGAAGGCAAAATCGACCACTGAGCTGAGAAGCTTTGCTGGGAAACAGTGGACAAGTGGCAAGCCTGGGAGATGGATGGGTCTTTTCTCAGAGCCAATGATGCTGGCTCTCCAATGTCCACCCTTGTTAGAGACGACCACTGTCACTTCCTTGTCTCCTCCTTGTTGTTCAGGGCTCTGCTTTGAGGTTCTTGTTTAGGTTTAGCACCACACTACTGTTGGAGTCTACTATCTAGGGTCCTTATTCCACTCAGAGTAAACACGGGCTTTCATTCCAAGTGATAACCCACATAAATAAACATTATCTGTGAGAGGATGAAGATGAAAGGCTCACTTGTAGAATCATCAGAAGGCACCCAAATGGCCAGTATTATTTCTGCTCATATAGAATTCTGACAACAGGAAGCACAAGAATTTGGCAGCTGTAGTCTGTATGGTTTGGCATTTCAGTTTTCTGTGGAAGTCCACTAGTGTAGACGCTTGAACTGACAAGATGAGTTTATATAAAGGAAAAAAACCAATGCAGCCTCAGTCCTCCACTTGTGGTCCGTGTTGAACACAACACTGGCACAGACTGAAAACCGCTGCGATTTCCCATTTCCTATGTTCTTTCCTTTCTACATGAATACGTATAGTCATTACTATACATGAAGAAACATGTTGAGTTCCCTAAGAGATATGATGATGGGTCAGATAATTCTGGTCTCAGAAGCAAGTTTGTATATTAACGAAGAAGATTTTTGTTTTCAAATAAGCTACAAGATGGAGAGAACAAAAGCTCTTCTAAAGAAATACAGGTGAAACACAGTTGACAGCTAGGGGAGATGTCAGAGCCGGGGACTAGGTGTTGACCTGGCTTATGGGAAGGAGATGACAGACAAAGACAGCAGGGCTCCTGGGGCTCCTTTCACACAGTCTCCTGATCATTCAGAAGCAGGATGCTATTGCTAGAGTCTGCCCTTGAGGTGTCACAACACTGGGAACACAAATGATTGCCATCAGCGGAAAACTATGGGTGTCATAAGCCAGTTCATCTGAGGAAAATACTATAGGATTTCATCCCTAGTAAGTGGTGTGTGTGTGTGTGTGTGTGTGTGTGTGTGTGTGTGTGTGTGTGTGTGTGTGTGTGTGTGTGTGTGTGTTCTAAAAGCCTAAGTTGGATGTAAAACAGAACTTCTCATACCCACAATGGGTCACTAGGACACTTGATTAAAGGCAACAACAAAACGTTGTTTTTTTTTCAAAACTCACAGGACTGCCAACCCCTGCTTACCATGGACATGGATACCATTTGACTGAAAAGCAGGGTTCGTCTCTGGATGGTAGGACTTCAGGAGTGAGCCTGGTGGCTGCTGGGTGTGGGGAGGCTGGGCTCTCTGCAGCAATGACGGAGGAGCTGGAATTCTTCCCGGGCTCATGTGCTGAGGAGATGGAGTCGGAGGTGCAAACCTGGCAAAACAATTCCAAAAGGCAGCATGACCAACTCTCCAAAGCCTCCCAAGTCCCCATTCCAGCCCTACCCAAGTGTGACAATAGGCTCTTTCAAAACCCCTTCATAACCATTCTCTCTCCCTTCCAACCACCGAGTTCTTCTCTGAGACACACAGGGAAGAAAAGTCACCAACAAAGAAAACCGTAGTCACAGTATGGGTTTGTCAAGCTTCTTAAACTGCATTTCAAATCCTCTGGGTTTTGTGAAATTCAAAGCACATCCATTGCCAGGCCCTTTTCCTGCTAATTTTAAAATCCGTTCACATTTTAGGGGAAATTCGATTCGTATGTTTCTGAGTCATTTACACTTAGCTCACAAACATTTTGTTTTGTAAGGCATATCTGAGGTCCAAGAAGTGTTATGGGTCCTTATTATGACCCCCCCCCCAACTGGAGCCTCCTTAAACAATACATTCTCTCTTGCCAGGAGTAAATTAACTTAAACCTCAAAGATCAAATGTGCCTTGAAACCCAGAACCTGAGAGGTTGGTTTGGGTTCTGTGCTGGGTAAAGAACATTCCTGATGGTGTAGAGGGAATGCAACGTACAGCATTCTTTGTCATAATGTGTAACAATCATAAGATTGTTGGCTTTTTTGGTTTTGTTGAACCCAATGCCTTGCACATGCTAGACAAGCACTCTGCCATTGGGCTATACCCTCAGCCACAAGTCCAAGAGTACTAGTTTTTAAAAGGAGATATATTGATATTTAAACAAGGAGAAATCACCAAGTAACCTTGGCCAACTGCATATTTATCTTCTCGTTGTGAGGTTCTGAGCCACAAGATTTAGAATGACCTTTACTGTCTAACAGAGGAGGAAGGTAGACTTCTGAGAACAGCCTTGCAGTTGGGAATGTCCAGAGAAATCAACAGGATTAATTGTTGGTTCAGCGGTGCACTGTGACACTCATGGTAGAGAGAGAAGCTGAGGGTCTTTCAATGCCATGAGAATAAACAGCAAAATAATTTGGGGTAAAAAATATGCTAGCAATGAAGTATTTAACCTCTTCTCTCCAAAGTTCACCAACATGGTAACATTTAAATGGTGCCTGTTGATACTGTGCAGGAAAAAAAAAACTCTATTTTGCACTAGCAAATGCCAAGTCATCATCTACGACAGTTGTTTTATAGGAACAAATGACTCCACAAGCCTGGGCATAGATGAGAAAAAGGGAAGGTGCATTGGACAAGTTTACCAAGTAATTGAAAAGGTTCTGAGGCATAAGGCAGAGCTTCAACATTTATGTTGAAGTGAAAGAGTATGGGGCAAATGCCATGTTCATTTTGCAATTTGTTAAGGGTAATGAGACTATCTATCTATGAAGGTTACATAGGAGCCAAGAGGAAGACAGGAACTCAAAGCAAAGATCAGAGCATCTAAGCAGACCAGACATGACAGGATGCCTAGGAACTGGTCAATGAAGATTTTATTCTAAGGAAAAAGAAGGGCAGTTGCGTGTCCTGCGCTGGTAAATGTGCACTTTTCTAAGCACACCCTCTTAATTGGGATTATCCAGAAAAATCTATGATGACTAGCCCTGAGAGAAAACAAATCCTGGCACTGGCCTGAGAACATCTAGTAAAACACATAAGCCAGGATTCTCCATATGGAGGCTATTTTCTGGGGGAACGTGTCCTTATTGTGTCTCCAAAGTCACTCTGAGTTTGTAGAGGAGGAATGAGCAATTATAGAGTCCACACTGGCACCCAATCATGGAAATTTTTGTTCTTATGGCATTTGGGGTGGGAGAGGAAAGAGATTTGAGTAGCAAGGAATGACCTTATCATTATCATGTAATCACACCAACATTTCAACTTTGTTTGGGAAACAAAACAATTAAGACTCCTATCTTGTTTTACTTCTTTGTTTGAGAACAAAAGGCACAACAAGCTAGAAGAACCTCTTGGCTTTCCTGCTGGGATTTATGCTATCTTCCTTCAGTCTAGGGCTGAAGGAGCAAAGCTCCATGCTGGGACTACTTGGGGACCCTGGAACAATCTGAGGACAGAACCTACCCCCAAACAACATGATACATCTGAATTGCATGAATTGGGTTAATAAGGAGTAGAAATGGTTTACGAAGAGTACAAAAGGAGCTCAAAGTTGTTCTCTGAGTAAAAATCAAATGATTTTGTTATTTGCAATGTCAGGGTCAAAGATTAAACTATGACTACTAACTAGGAAATGGAGAATGCAAAATATCCAAGGGTATAATTTATTAAAACACTTTGAGTCATCTATAAGTAGATTATATTACTGTAGATGGAGATTGTGTATGTGTATGGTTTTACATAATTATGCACTCACTCAAAATTAGTCTTACTTATTCATACAAGTTCCTGGGCGTATTTTCTTGGCTACCACATGTTATTTAATACTGACAAGGATAAATAATGGAGAAAATGTGGCAGGTATATACCAAGGTTTTAGCATTATTTCATGACCTAGAAGTACAAAATATTGTGCCTTCTGCTTAACCAATATCTTCCCTATGCTAATTCAGAGTTGTCCTCTGTGTTCTTCATGTAGATAAGACAGCACACCACAGGCATAATATAATTTGAAGATTTCCGCTCACATAAAATATTAATAAAAAATTAAAAAATTAATAAAAAATTAAAAAATAAACCTTCACAACGTAGCCTTTGATTTAAAAGGAGTCAGAACAAAAATTTTAACTATTGCATTTACAGAGAAAGTATGCATAAGAAGTGATCATAACTGGGTAGTGGTGGCATACATCTTTAATGTCAGCACTTGGGAGACAGAGGCAGGTGAATTTCTGTGAGTTTGAGGCCAGCCTGGTCTACAGAGCAAGTTCCAGAATAGCCAAGGCTATATATATACGGAGAAACATTGTGTCAAAAATCGAAAGAAAAAAAAAAAGTGATCTGTGATCATATTTTTTCAGACAACTGTCAGAAATGAGGAAGTAAGAATCAATAGCTTAAATTCCAGCTCAAGAAATCTATTTATAAATAGGAATGTTTTTAAAGCACAGAATCAATTTATACACATTTACAAGAATCAACTAAAAATTTTTGTTGTTTTCATCCATGAATTTTTAGAATCAGTTTTATTTCTGCCTAAAAAACACCATGTAGTATTTTTTCTTTTTCATTCTTTTCTCATACATTATATCCCAATCACAGTTTCTGCTCCCTCCATTCCTTCCACCCCTGGCCCCCCTCTCTCTCAGATCCACTCCTCTTCCATTTCCGTTAGAAAAAGAAGAGCAGGCCTCTCAGGGTTTCAACGAAACAAACACAACATAGCAAGTTACAGTCAGACTAGGCACAAACCCTCACACCAAAGCTGGACGAGGCAACCCAATAAGAAGAAAAGGGGTTCCAGCAACAGATGAAAGAGTCAAAGACACGCCACTGTTAGGAGTCCCACAAGAACACCAGGCTAGCAGCCATAACCTATAAGCAGAGGACCTAGCTGAGACTCATGCAGGCTCGGTGACTGTTGCTTCAGTGTCAGTCAGCAACTATGAGGCCCACTTAGTGGATTCTGTGGGCCATGTTCTCATATCACACAGCATTTTAACTAAAAAAAAAAAAAAGTCACAGCCTCTCTGTTAATTTATATGTACCAAGTTGCTTGATAACCAGCTCTAGGTAGAGCAGAATAGCAAACTCAAATCAGGTTAAGGGTAGAAGAGGAATGTGGAAACAAAAACAGAATTCTGCAGTTAGAGGCAAGGGTCTCAGACACATCTGAAACCAACAGACACCCAGAAAGACAGATGTTACACATTTGACTCAACCAGCCACAGAACCCAAGGAATCCAGTAGTTTTAGACCACTTCATACAGAAGAAGCCAATGGAGGATGAAAAAGGATTGACGCTTGTTGAGCCTCAACTACCTTTCCTGCTGTGGCTGCAGGGAAAGGAGCCCTCCCTATCACATTTTCTAAGTGATGATGATGACAATGACAACTATGGCTTATGTGATGATGATGATGACAATGATGATGATGTATAAAATGTCTCTTCTGTCGAGTATTTCATTCCTCAAATATGTCGGGTCAAGGCAGCACCACTTACTTGTTCTGAGTTATAGTGAGCCCAAGAGGCATAAGAAATACCTTGTAAGCATCCTCTCTATGCTCATCTCTATAACCCCAGCTGATGTGCAATGGCCATTTCAGAGATTTCCTTCCGTTCAGGCTGCTAGTCTTGGTTTTGTCTTTCATAGGACCTCAAAAGAGACAACTACTGTACAAGTAGGCACATGACAGACTAGGGGAAAATCCCTGCTTACCAGAAACAGAGCACACAAAAGCAAACCAGAACTGAGTCAACCATTTCCACTCAGTTGGTGGGGAGTTGGTATGACCTTATGATGAGCAATGGTTTGCCAAGAGAGGGAGGCAAGGGAGGGGTTTTAAAGCCTTATAAATGAGCCTCCTGCAAAAGGGGGACTTAAAAAGGTTCCTGCAAATACTCATTTATGCACTCTACAGAAACCAGCCGATCCATGCTCCTTCCGTTCAGTGCCTCCCTTTCCTGTCTCCCCTGTCCTGCTTTCACCACCATCAGGCTCCCCAGGAGGCAGTGGGCAGGCCAGCACAAAGAGCTCACCCTTCTTCAAGATGCAGCTGTTAATTCTAGACTATCACAAGACAGTAGGTCCCAAGCGGAACGAACACAGTTCAAGTTCACAAACAGAAAATGGGGAGGGATGGAGAATCAGGTGGGAGCAGAAAGACAATGGGTCAGCAGTCAGAGCAAGCAGCGGTGGACTCTGGTGCTCTCTTACTAGATAAGGAAGTTTGTAAATCCTCCAACTCCCCCAGCTATTTCCCTCATAATTTATGGCATAGTTGTATATTTTTTTTTTTTTCATTCAGGAGATATATACTGGGTACTGGTTGAGTATACAGCTGCTGTAAGCACACAGAGCAGACAGAGAAACTGAAGATACATTTCTCTGTATTTCCAGAAGT